TTATTTAGCTATATTAACTACATAATATTGGACCTATATATAGGAGGCTATCATATTTGTAATTAGATATTTATATCAATAATATAATATACAAAACTTATTCGATATATTTGGTCAGCTATCCACCCACCCATTTTAGTCATAAAACAATCGCGTCAAAAAAACCTACTTCGCCATTTACGCCACTGTACGGTATTATGTCATATTATGGTAAAATGATTAAAACAATGTGCGTTTCCATGACAATAATGATTGTTTAAAAAAGGTAAAAATAATAAAAATTTAATAATAATAAAAAATAAATAAAAACGGTTACCAATGACAACCTCATTTTTAATCTTTTAATTTTTTTTAACCCAAAGACCGAGGTTCTTCTCATTATCTCGAAAACTAATGAGAATTTCAAAAAATCACCTCTCTAAAATACCACCCAGAGAAAATTTCTTTTCAGAAAAGGTGCTATACACTTGATAATCGGAGTATGCTTTCTAGTAGAAAAAGTGGTCACGTGAAAAAAAAAAAAAATCAAACATCATTTTAAAACCAATACATTCCTCGTTACACTCAGAATCTAAAACCAGAGTTGAAAGTTGCAGGTGCCCCATGTACGCGATTAATTCTAACAAAAACAACTAGCTAGCGGCCAAATCGGTACCCGGAAAACATCACTGACGATCGGAGCGAGATTTCCGGAAGAGAAAAGTTGTTGACGGACATCGTCGGGGGAAAAAAAAACCACGCGACGTGGTAAAACACGAATACGCGAAACCTAGAGATATATATAAAAAAAAAAAAATTTGAAAACGTTCCACGGGTCCGGCGGAACGGTTAAAACGCCATAAGCGGAGCCGCAGTCTTACGGGGACGAGGGGCGACGGCGGCGTCGGGGGCGGCGGTAATTAACGTTTAAGGTGTTGGCGAACAACGGACCCCGCCGCCACCGCCGCCGCCGCCGTCGTCGTGCCGGCGGGGGCCGGCAGCGCGCGAGGTAGCGAGCGAGCGCGCGCGCGCGCGCCCGCGCCGTACGCGTTATAATGAGACGCAGACGCGTGCCACAGGAAATATTATTATGTTACCGTTTCCCCGCTCGTCCCGCCAGCCGCCGCAACAAACTCGCCCGCGGACGCATCCCTCCGCTCGCGGGCCGACGGGAGTGAGTAAAATATATACACCCCGGGCCGCCGCCGCCGCCGCCGCACGTTACCATCTGCTCACGGCCGCGCCGCCGTCCCGAGGTTGCAGACGCAGCAGCGGCCGCGTCCCGCGTGCGGCGCGAGCATTGTCCGTCGGGCGGGGACGGCGGGCGGCGGCGGCGGCGACGGCCCGTGCTACACGCGCGTGTATTATTATTATTATTATTATTATTATACGTACACTTAGAATATTTATAATGTACAAACATTGGTGGGCATTCGCCACCGCCGACGTCGCCTTACCGGAGCACTGCCGGCGGGGCGGCGCGACGCCGTTCGTAATTAATAACATTTACCGTACGGTCGGGCGGGTTTTGATTTTTTGTTTTTTTTTGTTTTTTTTTTTCCATTGCCTTGAAATCGAGTTCGAAAGTCGTACTGTCGAGTTTACGAGAACCGTACGGATGAACAAAAAAAAAAAAAGTACTCGACCGGCTCTGAGTTAAACACAAACGTCGTTATCGTCATGACAGTTCAATATCGCCACGACAAACTATAGGTGTGTTTTGGCGATTAGCCTGCAGGTTATATACGTTGTCGTTAATGGTTACGCGATTTCGGTTAATGGTTATAGATTCGCAAAAACGACATGTTTACGGTTGTTACAAATAATATTAATTTATAATAAAAAAAAAATAAAAAAATACCCGCTAGATATCTAGAAACTAATATACTTGATCAATAACCAAACATCATAACCGTTCATTTCGTTTGGTTATGATATTTCAGTAACCTATAGCCAAAATAGGTGATAACCAAAATCGCCAAAACGACTTGTTTATAAAATACAGTAACCGGGTTACATTAATTGGTTATTCGCCAAAACACGCCCTATATATTGTGTGTAAATTCAAACCGTCAACACGGTAATCTTATTGGAAATGTCCGGGTTTGTAGACACGTATGCTCTGTTGTTACGTTAATCTGTTAAAACAAAACAGTCGAGTACACGAGTAAAGTCGA